ATGTGGTGCTGGGGGATTGAACCCTGGTCCCTGTGCTTTGCTAAGCTTGTTCTAAGTAGGTGCTTTAGACCACTGAGCCATCTCACCAGCCCCCCTATTTTACTTCTAATTTCTATTATTTCCATACTGGAAAAATAAAAGGGCCCTAAGTTAATGATTTCCATCTAGCTTACCACAATGTATAGTACATACAGAGAGTGGAAAGCAAGTACATGAGTGTGTATTTGTGTGGAGGTGTCTGCCAGGTTTGTATGTCACAGCTGGCCAGTGACAGCAGCAGCATTTCTGTTGGCAGTTTGCAGAGAGTTCTTCTGGCTCCAGGAAGTTTGTTTATTGTTTATGCCAGGACATCAGAAGTTCTGAGAACTTCAATCCCTTCTTCTCCATGCAGCTCTTAGATTTCAGTCTGCATCAGCCTGCCAGCTGGCTGGGAAAAAACCAGGGTCTGAACCGTGAACACACATCTGATTCTGAAGCAGGCGCCCACAAGCCATGTTTCCCGAGTTGCTGTCCTCACATCTGATGTTCACAGCCATTATGCTACTGCAGTATTTTATGTCACCACACAAATCCTTGGGGCCTAAATGAGGTTCTGGATTATAGAGCACAAACTACAGGTCCTTCCTCCTGCCACTTCAAAAAAGGACATAAAATAGAGATCACTAGAATCTCAGAGCCTGCGTTAGAAATAGTCTCCAAACATATGTTATTTCGGTGTGACATAGTTTTCTACAGATAAATAATAAAACAGAGATGTGTATAGGTTCTCAAATTTTTTTAATTTCCTTTGATTGCTAGAAAGTACTTATAAAAGTATTTTCAGAGATATACAATTAGTTTCATATTAGGTTGTAAGGTTAACTTCTATAAATGATAGGTACATTTTGGCAGTGAGTGATGGCAGTGCTTTTCAACTAATCTGCTTACTGCTTTTTATTTTATTTTATTTTATTTTATTTTATTTTATTTGTTTATTTTTTAATTTTTTGGTGGAACCGGGGATTGAACTCAGGCCCTTGCTCTTGCCAAGGAAGCGCTTATTCCACTGTACTACTTTTTAAATTTAGATCAATTGGCTGGCCAGATAGCTCAGCAGACTAAAGCACCAGGGTTTGATCTCTGGAATGGACATGGTGGCACGTGCCTGTAATCGCAGTGCTTGGGAAGCTGAAAACAGAAGAATCACTATGAGTCTGATCTACATAGTGAGACCCTATAGACTCTGTAGACCCTGTCCTAAATACATAAAAGTATGTAAATTTAGTTAAACTCAAAATATTTATTAGGGTCAGTCAAATAGCTCAGCAGATTAAAGCACCTTCAAGCAGGCACAGGGGTTAGGGGTTCGATCCCCAGGCCTGCCATGTGGGCCCTATAAGCAGGGTGTGCTGAGATGGCAATTGGACTGGGCATAGTTTGAATATTTTAGTTACATTTTCTGCATACTGCTCATCGATGTTCAAATAAAAAGTGATCCTCTGTCTCTTAAAGTCATCCCACAGAAATCATTTCATGGGCCAGTGGTTCTACTGTCCCACTCTGGGAAACAGGATGTGAAAGGTGCTCAGAACTGGGTCTCTAAGGGTTTACCAACCACTTAGGAAAACCAAACATCCAAATGAAAACAAATGGGCTGGAGGCCTTTAACTGTTGGTGGGAGGATAAACTCATCAAACTTTTCATAAAGCCAATTTGTAATATTACTACATGCATTTGGACAATTTAGTTTGGGGATACATCTGTGTAAGAGCTCTCTGAATTAAAAAACAAAACAAAACCGGAGCTATTCTAAACACCAAAAGTAAGGGATGATTACATTATAACATTTCTAAACCAGTGAATGCTGCAGGGTCATTAAACCCACGTTAGAAAAAATAATGGCATGGGAAAACATTGGGAACATAATGCCCAGTGTACAAAACAAGACATAGTGTGGGATCTCAGTTTTATAAAACTGAATCTTTGCAAAGTGAGATATATGCAAAAAAGAAGCAGTACATTTTTTGCTGAATACAGACACTTTTATTCTCTTAATCTACATGTTAAAAATTTCTCAGCTTTTAAATTATAAAGATATATGAAATGCAATAATTTATAAAATAATTTCACTTTCATGATTAGGAAATAAAAATTTTCAAATTAGAAGTAAATAAGTAATTAATAAGGGCTAAATGAAATCTTATTGAAGTTCAGGGAGAATTTCATAGAAAAAATGCAGACTGATAGTGGGAAGCAACGAGGTGACTGGGGAACTACACCTGTCTGGATAATTGCCTGCTTTGGTGAAAAGAAAGACCCAATTCACAAAGTATCACTCAGGTGAATAAAGAAGTTACCACAGGCTAGTCATGGCTATAAGTGAAATTGACACAAATCCATTTAGAACAGATCAGTAGCTCTACCCAGGTGAAGGACAAATTTGTCCTTCAGAAAATGAAATTCAAACAAGATGAAGGCCTAGAGAATAAACAGAAATATACACATACAGTGGCTGGATCAGCAACAAACACAAGACCCTCACGTGCAGGTAAGTTATGAAGGGCATAGGTTCTTCTCTACTACATTTGTCTTGGAACTTTAGATGAGAGAAGTCCTAGATTATGGAGAGCCAGCAAGTGCAGCCAGAGCAACACAGATCTGCCCCTCACAGATATGCCCATGAGCTATGGAATCCCTGTCCCCTTTGCTAGAATGCCCATAGCAAGCACCTGAAGGTTTCCTCCAGGGCTGACTCCTCACTGAAGCCTTCCCTGGACACCTTATATGAAATCCATCTCCAACTGGAACTATCCCACTCTCTACCTGTAGAATGCTTTACTCTAAAATTCATCCTGTATTTTTATTTTTTCACATCATTCAGCATTTTTCTTCCTTACTGACTGTCCATAGGATTTAATTCCATTTTGTTATCTAGCCTTCCTGTTGCTGGACACAGTACTTGGAACTCACAATATAAAGGAGGCTAATCTTGGACCATGGCTACAGTCCATGCTCGGTGACTCCAAACCAGAAAAAGGATGGCAGAAGGGCATAGTGGGGCAAAGGCACTTACCCCCAGCAGCCAGGACACAGGAAGAGATGAGAGGAGCCAGGAATAAGATTACACTTTTCTAGGTCACATCCTGCAGTCAACCCCCTCCAGCCAGGGCCCACCTCCTAAGAGCACATCCAATGCCTGAACTAATCAGTGCATGAATTCTGATCCAATCACCTGACAAACACATGAAACTTTGGGGGGATATTTTAGTTCTAAAGCACAATGTCTATGAAAAAAAGGATTTTGTTTGGTTCATTATTGAATGCTCAGGCTTCAGAAGCATACCAGTCCAAAGGGAGCAGTAAGTATTTGTATCTGAAGACTGAATAAAAGAATTCTCTTTCACTTCAAATCTTCTGACCCTTACATTTTCTTTATCCTCCAGCTGTGCCCAGATGATCTTTAATGATACTTATTCTCTCTGCTTTTCCCCTGCCCAACCCTACATGATTTACAGCTACTTCTCTATCATTCAGTTTTATTTCTTTTCTACCCCAGGTATGATTTGGGCTATATTTCAGTATCACTGGATTTCTTACTATTTTATCTTTCCTTTCCTCAGCCTCTGCTGTAGCTTGGCCACATTCAGTTCTCACTTTCATAGGTTTTAAACTTCTATTCAGGAGGCCAGGGAGCTCAGCAGAATAAGCACTTGCCTGGCAAGTGCAGGGTCCTGAGTTCAATCCCCAGTACCACAAAATAAATAAATAAATAAATAAACTTCTATTTGGATTTCCAAAGAAGCATAAGGTGCAATTTATAATGTATAAAGAAAACAGGGGTGGATATTGGCCATATAGTGCATAATGTATTGTCAAAAGGGAAACATTAAAAATATAGTAAGTCATGAAGAGCAAGGAAAGGAACATAAAAAAAAAAAAAAAAAAAACAGCTTTTGGCCCCTGAACTAATACTTTAGCCATATTGTATCTGATGAGTCATAGACCTTCACTTAATCCTGCTCTTTAGAATTGTTGCAACAGTTAAAAGAGAATGTAGCTTTTCAAGAAATCAAACCACCATTAAGGGAATATGAGTGACTAGTCAATGAATATGGGTTTGTAGTCTTCAGGAATTCATAAACTCAATATCCAGAGTCGCAACTGGAGACTGATATTACCAATCTTGATCGCGTACCATGCTTAGCAGACTCTGAACAGCATATTCCACAACTGCCCAGTGATCAGGATGACACAGCCCTACCTGGTTATATATGTCCTGTCATTGATGAAGATCCAGGAAGGATACTGCTGAGCCATCGTCATTATCACCTTTCTCTCCTTTTCAAGGTGGTCTGAAGATACCCTAAACATTAGAGTAACAACAATGATCATTTTCCTAGAATGCACTCACAAAGCACATTCTCATGAGCCAGGCATTTAGCTCAGTAGTGTAGCACCTGCTTGGCAAGCATGAGGTCCTGAGTTCCATTCCCAGTACATGCCCCCCAAAAAGTTGTCCAAGCAAATTACATTCTTATTTAAATTGAATATTTGCTTAGAACTCTCATGTATAAGAATATCTTAGGATGCTTTCAAATGATATTTCACATATAAATGACAAAGAAAAAATATAGAGGATTTTCTGCCGAGTTCCGGGAGCCCCCAGACCCAGTCCTAGCCCAGGTCCGGTGAGTGTGCGGAGAGTTTCCTGCTACCCTGCGCCGGCAG